AACCCTCAACATGTAATTTCACTTTTTATTTAGGTTTGAAATAATACTGCATAATATACTTCATTTTCTATTTGCACCTTTGTTTCTGAGCATTGCCATTTTCAAAATCGCACAGCGATCATGAGCACTATGAGCCTGGAACCGAATTGTTATAAATTCAGTCTTGTTAATCATGTATATAATGACACCTTAGAATAACAGAATCTGGTTTTATTTCATGAAATGGACGGTTTTAGAAGCATACCACTAGAATAAAATTAAAGATGACATTTACAAAAATTTATTAAGAATTTCGAACAAAGTGGTTTATCGATTTTTTCCTCATTAATTTATTTAAAAAAAAAAACATCCAGTAGACAAATCAATATACAGTGGAGCCTCATTTATCCGGACGCTTTGGTTCCCAGTCAATTTGTTCGGATATGTGAAGCGTCCGGATACCTGAATTACCAATTAAACAAGACAAAATTACATTTACAAATTTCGTTCCAATGAAAAGTCGTTCGGATACCGAAGCATCCGTATATCTGGGGCCCGGATATCTGAAGGTCCACTGAAAATGAATCATGCAGTTTAATGTATAGATTTTGTTGAGGTAGGTGTGGGTTAAAAATAATAACATATACCGGTAATTGTTCATGCCTAAATATACAGTCAGTTAAATATGACTGTTTTGTATAATATATTTCCTGACAATTGTATCTGAACTGGCTGAGTTTTGAAATGTCAGATTTTTGTGGGGATGTAAGCATCTTAGAAAATTCATCATATTTTTTTATGACTGAATTGTAAAAAATTACCTTCATTCTAATGATTTTGTTTTCTAAATTTTATGTTATGAACTGAGTTTTACAGAGTATGAATTCCTTTCTGGTCCCATGCCAGAAGCTTGGATATGCTAAGCCTTGTAAAGCCTTACATGTTACGGAAATATAAACGGACAACCCCACCCGCATTCCCTGCACTGTGGCCAAAATAAAACAAAATGCAAGCATATTGTTGCGGTTTTATGTCGTGTATTAAAATCATCTAATTTTGTTTCTGTCAGCATTTACATGTAAAAATAAAACCCGATCCTGAACTTAAAAGGATTTTTTTATCAATCAAACAAATAAAATCATAATATGTGTATATGTAATAATATTTATCCGTAATTTGATAAGAGGTTAAACAATTTATTCCACACTGTTAACAGCAATGAGTTAAGTCCAGTGATGAATTGGGTTTTTAGCATGATAATTGATCTGTTAAAGACATTCAATGCTGATCGAGCTTTTGTGAAAGACAAAGTTCTTCGTGGCTTTAGGGGTTAATTTGCAGAAAATGCTTAAAACATTTAAACTCTTTGTAAAAAAAAAACCAACAACAAGTAAGTACCAAAGAGTTACATGTATTTCAAATTTGGAGATCTTGAAAATATATAGCCATACATGTAGTTTAGAGAACTATATAGACTATATAGAACTACATAGATTCAATATAAATATTTTTATCCACCCTACACCCTCTCTCTCTTTCTCGCCATCTCTCTCTCATCAGATTAACATGACCATGCAGCTCTATTTAAGTTGGAACATTTTTTTTTTATTCGGATGTTTTTGCTTGTTTTAATTTCTCTAAATTGAAGTGTCGTTTGTGCAACAAGAATATAAGACAAAACAACGTTTGTGCAACAAGAATATAAGACAAAACAACATTTTAAAGTTTTATTTTTTTAATCATGATTCATGATACGGTAGATACTTTGCATGTATATTATTAAAAAAAATGAAATTCGTTATTAAATTATTTCATGCAAAAAAAAGCTATAGATAAGAGATTTGGGGAAAAAAAATTTTAAAGTCCAGTCTGTTCAATTTTATTGTTTTCCTTTTTTCTTTGTTTTTCCTTGTCTACATTAACAGGACCTAATTGTTCCCAAAGTACAACAATATTTTATTTATTTAAAATAAAAAAAATTATGCCGACAACTGAAAGTGTTTTTATTTGGTAATAAAAGATCTCTTTTATAATCCAGGAGCTAACTCGCTGAAATGTTAAAAGTCCCTCTCTGGTTCCCCTTTTACATCGATTGTTGACATTAGAGTTATCTCTCCTATTTTTTTTTTTTTTATTTATAGAAAATACAAATATCTTGACTGTTGTTCTAACAAATTTTGCTAGATTTGTAACAATGTGGAAGATGTATGTTTAGTTTCAACATTAGTATAAACAATTTAGCAAAAGTTTAAACAGTATGCACCGATGAATCAATGTTTACATGTGATCGGCGCGATCGCAATGTATATTGAGAGTGGAGGAGCGGATCTCAAAAAAGGAAGGCAATTTTCCTTTGCAATATTTTAACAATATACCCCTGTCTAACATGTATCCTAAATCTGGTATAAATATGTAAATAAAATTTATTTTTCTAGAGTACACAGGTTTATTATCCTATCAGATAAACACCTTGTTGACAGCTTCTATACATGTACATGGTGCATGATGTCGGAAAACTGTATTGGTATCAGAGACGTATAATAGATATGTTTGTTAAGAATTCAAACCAGTTCTAAATGTTTTTATTTATATCTATTAAAATAATTGGATTGAAAGATTCAGACATTAATTACATTAATTTATAAATGAAAATAAATTCCACATGTTGGAAACTCTGGATGCGTCAAACGTCAAAACACGTGGTTAAAATAAAATCTGCATCGAAGTTCACCGTCTGCAACGTCATATCTTTGTGACGTTATTTCTGTTTTAGCAAAAATGCCATAAGGCCCTTTTGTCATGGGCGCAATCATATGTTTCGTCAGGCATCACAAAATGAAAATGAAACAGTTACAAATTTTGTGACACGATTGCAAAAACTGGCAATATCTTGTGAGTTTGGAGCGGCAAAAGATGACAATATCCGTGATCAGGTCATCGATAAATGCAAATCAACAGCATTAAGAAGAAGATTTCTTAGAGAAAAAGAACTCAACTTAATGAAAGTACTGGAAATATCAAGGGCCGTAGAAATGTCAGATAGTCAAGCACAGAAAATGGAAGAAAATCCAGCTATTCCACAGAAGGTCAACAAAATTAACCAACAGATGAAATCGAAAAAGTTTCCAAATTTCGAAAAACCAAAACCTAGTCGTGCATGGGAACGGAATGACAGAGGTCATGGAAAACAACTTTCTGGATACAAAGGACCCGGAGGGCAACACCAATCCCCTAGAAAAAACCAACGATGTTACAGATGTGGAAATCAAGGTCATTTTGGTCGTGACTGCAGAATAACACGAGGAAAAAAGTGCGATAAATGTGGAAATGAAGGTCATTTTGCAAAAGTGTGCAACACCAAGCGCCTTAATTGCGTTGTTGAAAATACTACCCCTGAATTTGCCTTCAGTGTATCTGAAAATAAAACACCTACTCTCAAAGTTAAAATCAACAACAAAGATGTAAGTGTTATCATTGATACTGGAGCTAGTGTCAACATTCTGGACGGACTAACATTTCGAACCTTGTTCCCGGACAATAAAGGCTTTGAAACACCCAACATCAGAAATGTTTGCATACGGATCACCAAAACCACTGAAACAACTTGGTATCATTACGGCAGAGTTCAAACATAACGGCAAATCTATTCAAACAACTTTCCATGTCATTCCAGGAAAATATGGAAGCTTGATCAGCAAAGCAACAGCTGAGCAATTAAAGTTGATTAAACTGGAGCAGCATTTCATCCAAGAGATAACAAAAGAAGCTTCCACAATAGTTCAGGAATACAGCAACCTTTTCGTTGGGCTTGGAAAACTTAAGAAATTTCAACTCAAGTTACATGTAGACAACACAGTACGACCAGTGGTTCAACCCATGCGCCGTCTGCCATATCACATGCGTGAAGCTGTTGGAAACAAAATTGATGAATTGGAAAATTTAGATGTAATTGAAAAAGTTGAGGGACCGACACCATGGGTTTCACCTCTTGTTTGCATACCAAAACCGAAGCAAAACGACGTGCGAATCTGTGTGGATATGCGTCAAGCAAATAATGCGATAATGCGGGAACGATTTCCTATTCCGAATGTAGAAGAAACACTACAAGAAATGAAAGGAGCAACATGTTTCTCAAAACTTGATCTTAAATCGGGATTTCATCAAATTGTATTAGAGCCGGATTCAAGAAACATAGCAACTTTCGTCTGCCACAAAGGTTTGTACAGATACAAACGGCTCATGTTTGGAATTTCGTGTGCACCGGAAATTTACCAACGAATAATACAGCAAGTCTTACAAGGGATCACAGGCTGTAAGAATATATCAGACGATATAATTGTCTTCGGCAAAACAAAAGAAGAACATGATAAAGCGCTTCGGGAAGTTTTCAATAAACTTCGAGAGAGTAATCTGACTCTGAACAAAGAGAAATGCAAATTTTACAAGACAGAGCTGAAATATATGGGACACATACTGTCCAAAGAAGGAATTAAAGTCGACCAAGAGAAAGTCAAAGCGGTTCAGGAAGCAAAACAACCCAGTAATGTACAAGAAGTCCGCAGTTTTCTTGGACTTGTCAATTACTGTGCAAGATTCATTCCGAATTTAGCAACAATAGCTGAGCCAATCCGTAAGCTGACACGCAAGTCAACAAAATGGGAGTGGGGGAAACACGGAAACAAAAGCTTTCGTCCAACTAAAAGAGTTATTAACATCATCAGAAGTTATGGCGTACTATAAACTAAGCGCAGAAACAAGACTAATTGTAGATAGAAGTCCTTATGGGCTCGGAGCAATATTAGAACAAAAACAAGAAGACGGTCCAGTGGCTTACGCAAGTCGTACCCTCACTGACACGGAGCGACGGTACTCTCAAACAGAACGAGAAGCACTGTCAATCGTATGGGCATGCCAACGATTTCAAACGTATTTGTATGGAGTAGATTTTACCATCTTGACAGATCACAAACCCCTTACCTATATATTTACACCAAAACACAAACCACCTGCTAGAATAAACGATGGATCATGAAACTACAACATTTAAATTTACTGTGATCTATACTCCCGGAAGCCAAAACGCAGCTGATGTACTTTCACGCCAGGAAAATGCAAACAATAATACTCCGAATCAAGAGCAAACAAGCGCAGAAGACTATGTCAATTTCGTAATCGAACACGCAGTACCAAAAGCAATGACCATAGAGGAAATTGAGCGCGTATCCGAAAATGACCCTACGCTGCAACAAGTACGGGAAAACATCACTTCAGGAACTTGGACCAAATCGGACAAAATTTTACCTTTTTACCATATCCGATCAGAGTTAGCAGTTCGAGGACCGATTGTACTAAAACAGGCTCGAATGATCATCCCACAATCCCTGCGGAAGAGAACACTAGAAATCGCACATGAGTCACATCAAGGAGTCGTTAAAACAAAGGCACTTTTACGAGAAAAAGTGTGGTGGCCAAAAATGGACGAAGATGTTGAAACCGCTGTATTGTCATGTCATGCATGTCAAATGGTATGTAAATCAAATCAAAGAGCACCCGTTACGATGACAGACCTACCCACAGGACCTTGGAAAAAATTAGGAATGGATTTATGCGGACCATTCCCAACCGGAGAACAAGTATTAGTAATAGTTGATTACTATACCAGATACCCAGAAATCGAAATCATGAAGTCTGTAACTTCAAAAGCTATTATTAGACGACTAGTGAGAATTTTTGCAACCTATGGATTACCAGAAGAAATAGTCACAGATAACGGCAGACAATTCATATCGGATGAATTTGAAAATTTCTTAGCGCGGAACGGAATTAAATATCACAGAACTTTACCGTACTGGCCTCAAGCTAATGGAGAGGTTGAAAGGTTTAATGCAACACTAAAGAAATCTGCACAAATCGCAAAAGTAGAGCGCAAGGATTGGAGATTTGAAATATATAAATTTCTCCTAAATTATCGGAATACACCGCACAGCACAACAGGAGAATCACCTGCAAAATTAATGTTCGGCAGAGAATTGAGAACAAGAATACCACAATTGCCACAAATTCAAAGGAACAGAATTCTTAACCGTCGGGACAGAAGAAATAAAATTCGAATTAAAACATATGCAGACCGATTGCTCAACGCAAAATCTTTCAAATTGCTTGCGGGGGAGAGAGTGCTGATAAGGAACAATATGCCAAAATCCAAGTTAGACACAAAATGGAATGAACCGTTCACAGTTATATCCCACGAGGGCAGTGCTGTGAAGATTGACATTAATGGTAGAGCTACTTATCGAAACATCAACCTCGTGCGACCCTTTAACGGCACGCGATAATGACAGTTTTATTAGACAAACATTTGTTGCTGAAGCGAAGGAACTTGACTCTTGAGAAAATGTTTAACCTCCTTTTAAAATTTTTTATATGTCCAACTGTTAAGTATAAATTCAAAGAGGGGAGGATTGTAATGTTTAGGAATTTACTAGATTTGTATCACAATCTGTTTATAATTGATTTGACACGTAAGCAAAGTTAGCTCTCTGACTCTCACAGAGTTCAGTACCCTACTGACATTATTCTGAAATTGAGTCACCTACATTTCCTGTTTTCCAGGCTCCAAAGACTATAAAATATAAAACGATTTTGGTACAAAGACACTTACTTGCTAACTGATATCCAATGTAGTCAGGCTGTATATATTTGTGCTTATTAGATAAACTATATAAAATATATACCGGTGTTGTTTCTGATATATTACATATATAAAAAAGTTTTTGTCTCAATTTCATTATTTCATCGATTTTATGTTTTGAAGACAAACACGACTTTTTGAAAATGGCGTAATTTTCCAAAGCAATTGTTTTGGAAAATTATGCCATTTTCAGAAAAGTTGACATTTTTTTTTTCATTTTTGCTTTATTAATTTTATAAAGAAAGTATGATATACTCTTAAAGCATTTTTTTCTGCTTTTAAACTATGTAACAATTTTTGTTATTACTTTAATGTATTTTTTTTTAAGAACAAGAATTTTTTTTTTGCATTTATGTGTTTTTTTCTCGAATTTTTCCGTAATGTTTAAACAAAGCTCAGATTTACATTTATTTTTGAGCTGAAGAGGGAAAAACAAACTAAAGCTGGTAAAAGTAGTGAAAATTTCCTTTCCAACAAGCCCTTACAAGTCTACTTACGCTCAGTATTTTCTTAATTACGATAGTTTGAATGTGTGACCTTCGCATAGTTTTTATGGATAAATCGGTTAATATTTACATGTAACGTCAAGGTCGATATTGTTGTGTCTTATGTGTCTTACTTGGAACAACATATTCTTTTAGAAGATTTTTTTACAATTTCAATATATACTTTTACTGAAATAAATTCATAATAAAAAATAGGGTTGGAAAAAAACAAAAAAAATAAATATTTCCGCTTTTTGTGAAGTGAAATGTTTTTAATACAATGAATTTATTCATCTACATGTAATGATGTATATTTCATGTAGTGATGTACCAAAATCCTAAAAAAAAAAATGTAGATTCCTTAAACGTCTTTAATTAAAAAAAAATCTTATTTAATATTGTTGTATCTTGTTATACTGTATTCTCTATATAGAATTTAATTAGATCTTAATTTGCACGGAATTTAATAATACGAAAACTCGCATTTATAAATAAAAACGACTCATCACTGTATGAGTTGATTCGAATTTCCGCTATGGTAGCAGTAAACAACAACATCATGAACATAATAGTGATCCGAAGACTGCACGTCAATTTACGACAAAGATTATCATATCAATGCATCAAATAATACGGACTTGTCTTTGGTATTAGAGGTGAGTATATATTTACTGAAGAATTTAAGACCGCCTTTAAGATGCATTAATTCACGTTCAAATGCAAACTAAATGTACACCTGGTACACAGGTGGCAGAGGATAGTTTTTTTTTTCTTTTTTTTTTCAATCAAAACGTTTGACTGACGATTTACTTAATATTGAGCTGCTTTTAAAATGTACATTGAAAAATTTTAATTTCCCTCTGCATACAATAATAGTATGATGTAGTCCCTTGAGGAATTTAATGCCTTAAGGAATAAAACATGTACAACTTACACAATGAGCACTAAAGATGGCGCAGGGACAATCTCAAAATTTCATGTAAATCAAGCCTATTTTCACTATTTCGCCGCAGCTGCAACTGCTTCCAGGCCTACGCTCATGACCTAAGCCACCACACAAATTGCAGAATAGCATTTGTACATACCAATGATGATTGATTGATTGTATACTGTTTAACGTCCCTCTCCAGAATATTTCACTGATATGGAGACGTCACCATTGCCGGTGAAGGGCTGCAAATTTAGGCCTATGCTCGGTATTTTCGGCCTTTGAGCAGGGAGGCATCTATATCGTGCCACACCTGCTGTGACACGGGGCCTTCGTTTATACGGTCTCCTCCGAAGGACCGCCCCATTTAGTCGCCTTTTACGACACGCAAGGGTGTACTGAGGACCTATTCTAAACCGGATCCCCACGGGGCTGTACATACCAATGAACAGCAAGAGATAATGGCTCAACCACCTCGTTTTCAAGCTACAATTCATCCTATGAACCCACCCCGCTTTTC